TTCAACATTTTTTTTTTTTTGGTCTGTAAATTAAAATTTGTTTAGAGAGAGAAAGAGAGAGTGTGCATGTGTGGTTTATATAGTGAGGAAAGACAGATAAGAAGGATGGCCAGCAGGAATTCTAATTATTCTCTTACCAAATATACATTCCTTTTGAAGTTTGAAAGTTGAAACTTGAGAAAATTGCACGGTTGATCCCTTATCTATAACCCTTGTAATAATTTGGTCCTCCCTTTTAACTATCTTTATAGTGTGATTTTGTAGCATTCAAAAAACGATTTTCCACCACTTTTCTATAAAAATCATTTAAAAATTTAAAAAAATATATAACAACCACAAAAATCAAAATCAAAATCACTAGCCCTCCACACGTCCTCATTTCACCCCATATCACTAAACTCTATTACTTTTTGGCAAATTCCACTTTGTACCTTGATTGTTGATGGCAACCTAAAGTGTCATGTCTTCCCACTAATGACAATGAGATATGGGTAAAAATTTGGGGTTACTAGCATGGATTAGGCGTAGGAAGTGAGGTAAGTCAAGCAATAAAAAAATCAGCTTGCATTAGTTAACTCACGAGCCAACTCCTTACAAGCGAGGTAAAAATAATTCAAAAAAAGATACAAAAAATTGGTGAGTTCAAGAGAGGACCCGAGCCCGACAACAGCTGCTCGCCCCATTTAACACCCTTGGATTGTATGATTTACATTTTTTATTCTTTCTTGTTTCATTATATTTTATTTTCTTATATTTATTTTAATTAACATAACCTTTGAAAGCAAAATAAATGACTTTTTAATACAAATTGAACAAGACGCTAATTACATATCTGTAACACTATAAAATTAAAATTTTAGAGATGACACTGTCAGATAAAATAGGTTAAGAACCCAAACGCTCACATTTCATAAATCGAAGATCAAAGGTGCAATTTTTCCTTTTGAAAATATCTGTTTTGGAGGTATTATTCACTTGCGAAGTTGATATGATGACATGGTGGACCATTTGCTTCGAATGATAGCAAAGGGCCGTTTTGGACTTTTTCAAAACTTCAAATTTACTGTTAATTAAGAAGCCTTCCCAACTGAGAAAGCCAAAAATATTTTCTTTTTCTTCAATTGCTTGTAGAATAAAAAGTGTGACAACTTCCATCATCACCCTAAAATCCCATATTTATAGTTTACTTTTAGTTACACATAATATGATTTATCCATCAAATTTATAAGTAACCTAAATTAATGCCTTAATGTAAGAAAGAATTAAAGTCCTTTTTTAATTATTCTTGTTTTAATTGCAATTTTTTTTTTTTGGCAAGACAAACTTATGACGTTATCTGCTTAATTCCTAATTAAAATCGAAATTCTTGTTTCAAGATTGATATTATCAACCAAATTTGTAACGCCGCGAGTGGTTTTTTTTTTTATAGAAAAATTGGCATGTTAATGGGAAGAGGATTGGATTGTTACAAACCATATTAAGAATGAAAAATGAGATAAAATTTGTTTATTATATGCTTATTTATATCTAATTTGTGTATCAAATAATATATTTTAATTTCCAATTTGAGGCTTTTGTCTTCTTTATAATTTTAGAGTTCAAAAAATTCAAAGAAAATGTTTAATTATTTGAGTTAATCACATTTAAAGAGTTTTTTGAGTAAAAAAGAAAGAAATATAAATGTTTTCATAAGTTCTATCGGTGTCAAATGTATTTTTTTGTAAAATTTAATCCTGGCAACTCGAGATTAAAAGTTTAAATTAGACAAAAGGGTGAGAAGTGAGGCGAATTGATCATCAAGCTATGGGCGCAAGCCAGCTTGTTTACAGGCTCACCGGGGGCTCATTAGTCTCTCATGTTTTTGCTCAAATTAAAAAAATATTTGGCAAATCGTTCATACTAGCTTGTGGGGCAAATCGAGTCACACTTCGATATTGCGAGCCTGCTCGCATTGTGGGCCAAATTGAGCCCAAAGAGTTGAAGAGTCGAGTGGCTCGATTCAACTTATTTATTATCTCCACTTAGACATAATTATTATCAGATAAAGTTTCATTTTCAATATCATATAATAACAAGATAGTCAACTCTTGGAAACGTGGTCAATTAAGTTAACAATCGAATGCTTGGAATACAAGGTTGAGTTGAACATATAAATGAGATCATGTGGACTGGTCAATTTCGTCACCCATCCCTTCTTACTTACAAGGTAATTTAAGTTTACTTTTCCCTTCAAATATACTATTGTTTAAATGCTTCTAGTTTTGAGAAAATAATATATTTAAATTATCAGATCAACTATTTTGATATATCAAGCAACAGCATGTTGTCCCATGGTTTTCGGCATAGTGGGTAATTAGTTTTCTCGTCAAAACTTCTACCCGAGCACCCGTAATGGAACCGTAGACAGTTAAGTGAAATCCAATCCTTAGAATCATGTCTTTTTAGAACTATTTTGGATGTATAATTCCATTTCGGTAGTACTGAAAATTATTTTATATAGGCTAGGAGGGTCTCTTAATGCCTTCTTTTTTCTTTTCATTGAAATTATTTAATAAAGACTCGTAGGGTAAGGAAAAAGGGATAAACTGGCATACTTGGAGAATGAATTATAAAGGAAGAGTTGTACATTATAAGTTCTTTTAAAGAAAAAATATATTCTTAAATTAGCATAATAATTTTGATAAGGAATAATTGAAAAGTTTATTATGATGAATAATGGAGTTCAACTATAGATATGTTTGGAGAAATCTAGTGGTTTAGATTAATTACTCAAAGTTGATTTAATTCTTTTTCCCACAATGTAAATCGAAATAATAAGATGTTAATAACAAAAAATAGAAACCTAAATTTGTCTCTACCATCCCGCTCTCTCAATCGCTCGACAATGACCACCACCATTGCCTACTGCCACTTATCACCAGTCCCAAACCATTTTCTCTCAAACACCGCCTTTTGCCACCACTATTGTGCCGGGAATCGAGCTCTCAAACAATATTTTGACATGTTCTTAGCCAAATCAATAACATCATTACCGCAAATCGTCACCAGCTGCCATTACCACCATGCTTAGAACCGATCTCCCAAACACGAGCATCATCTTCTAATCCCATCAACATTGCCAATTGACGCTGAAATCAAGATCCACACCTCTTAAATCAACATTGCCAACTAAGTTATGCATACTCTTATGTACAACCTTTTTATTATAAAAGATATGAATATGCATGAATAAATTAAATACAATGAAAGGTCAATAGTGATATATCTTTATCTCCAAATGGGTGATATTTACTTATCGTGTTAAACCTATATATGTCTCCTCGGAAATAATATTAAGTCCGAAATTCATTCAGAAGTGATCAATCATTCAAACTTATTAATAATTTAAATATTTAGAGTATGTGCAGTGGTGATTTGAGGTGCTAGTAAATTGTGAAACCTATGGAATATGTGAATAATAAATACGTAGCATTTGTGGGTTGTTTGAATAAAAATTAAAGTATTCAATATCACTAAACTAGTAATAAAGT